AAGAAAGTCCAAATTATTACATTAAAAAATCACTTTGTTCTTTAATCAGCTATATATATTATACAATATATACACTGTTCATGACAGCAGCCCCAATATTACGGAAGAAAACGTATAGCGAATAAAAAATCCCTTAGAAGAACACGTACAAAACAGTAGCGGAACGCTCATGTAATGATAATAATGAAATGACATTTCAGACTCGTTGAAATGGAAATGGAAATGATATTTTCAATCTGATCGGCACCTTATGCGCACAATGGGGTGAAAAACCACGTAGAACAACCGTAATGTTCATTTGAAAGTGTGGGGCGTGTTGAGTGGCGTGACGTATCCGCTTCATCCACACGGTAAGCAGCCCGACACGCTAACACTCGATCACGGCCTACCCACCTTCACACTCAGCCAAACTGAAAATAATTCACACATTTGATGATAGTGACTTCTTGACAAAAAATAATTTAAAAATGTAAGCCCAAATGTTACCAATAAATATGCAGTGTTTTCTTTTTGTAGTGGTTCGACTAAACTTACATCTTAAAATTTGAAATATTTTGGTAGAGAACACAGCTCTGCAATAATGAAGCCGATAATTTTTAGCCGCGGCATAATGGCTCTGAGTTTTTTTTATCAAGTACAAACTCTTTAGCTCATAGCTCCATCTCTTGACCGATTTGAGATCTAATTCAGAGCCGCGGCCATTGAGGATTCCATCTTGTTTTCCTTCATGAAATTAGAGAAATGAAATTCATCCAATTCACCGCTATTATCATTCGTTTTATGGTTCCTTCTTTTCCATAACCAAATAAACTGGAATCTACCCTATCACCGATTTTGTCAAAATTATTATCTTGGAAATCTTTTAATCTGTACATATAGTTATTCATCTAGTTTAAAGCGTTTACCGGAAGAGATTGCAGATAGTTTTTCGAATCGTGATATTTTCTAAAATTAGCAGGTTAGAGCTGATAAAAGTTCAAGTTCTTTGTTGTTTTGAGGACTATTTTCATTAGCCATCCCTCATTTTGAAGTGATAGAGTAGAGGGAAGGCAGCTAGCAAACACCACCCTCCGCCAGTTCTTGGGTTACTCTTTAGCAACGAAAAGTGTGATTGACCGTCCCACTATAACGTCCCCACGGCTGAAAGGACGAGCACGTTCGGGGGAGGATTTGAAACCACGACTCGCATATTGGCATGACACTACAGTATAGAGTAATCAAAATGTGGGCAGGAAAACCACACAAACAACAAAGCAATATAAGCTACGATTGTTGTTGTTTTAAAATGAGATTAGTGCCGTAACAGAAAATAGTATTTCAACACAGCTACAAGTCCCATTGAATAAGACTTTATAACATATTATGAAAGACGCACAAGAAACGTGAGCTATAAAGTTTAAAAGGAACATCCATTAGGCTAACATCAAATTACTGTTCTTTTTAGGTGAAAAAAACCGTCAGAATAAATATTTTATTGATTGTGTGCGAGAAAAAGCTAAGTTTGTGTTTTGTATTCTATTCCATTTTTGTACGAGTTAGTCTAATTGCTGCTTTGATACTGGGAACGGTGTATGTTAATCTTATATATATATTGCGAACCGTGGTGTCTGTCCGAGCGTTTTTCTGTCTCCTGTTTGAATAGCTGCGCACGGAGGCAAAGCTCAACATTCACTTTTGAAAAGACGAAAGAACAGGCATGAATAATAAATACTATTGGTGCCAAATTTTATTTTACAAGCATGATATTCTACACTAAATTGTTAGGAATTAGTCACACTATCATTCAAATTTCAAAATGTAACGTAACTTAAAGAATAAAAATGTAGATTTATCGTATGTTATTGTTGACTGGCTCTTAGCATCACTGAAAGTACCACAATTATTTTTCGCGGTGGGCGGTATAAGTAGCTCAGAGTTTTGGCTCAAGTGAAACCAAGAATGCAACACAATTACCCTTTGGGGACGGATACTTTTGCTAGGTTAACTTAAACTTTTCCAGTCACTGAGGACAGATACTTTTGCTGGACTAGCTTAAACTTGTACCGTCATTGAGGACGGGTATTTTTGCTAGGTTAACTTAAACTTTTCCCGTCACTGGGGACGAGTACTCTTGCTAGACTAGCTTAAACTTGTACCGTCATTGAGGACGGGTATTTTTGCTAGATTAACTTAAACTTTTCCCGTCACTGGGGACGGGTACTTTTGCTAGACTAGCTTAAACTTTTACCATCATTGAGGACGGGTGCTTTTGATAGATTAACTTAAACTTTTCTCGTCACTGGGGACGGGTACTTTTGCTAGACTAACTTAAACTTTCCCGTCACTAAGGGCTGGTACTTTGCAAGACTAACTTAAACTTTTCCCGTCGCTGGGGACGGGTAATTTTGCTTGTATTGTATAACGTTTCTTGTTTTACAGAAACTAGAGTAGCAGCGCAGCCGTCGATAGCAGAGGACGAGTTTTGTGTATCCACCAGAAAGTTCGCTATTGGAATTGCTATTGCTGGAGTCTTCTTAATGTTAGCCATTATGTTGTTGGTGGCCTGTATCCTTCATCGCCGTCGCAGGAGAAAAGGGGTTAGCACGGCCGGTAGTTCCATATACTCTGGACCGTACTCTAACGCCGCTTACAGCAGAGACTAATTCTGAACAGCTGCAGGACAGCTTCATCATTGTTTACCCTTTTTAAATGGGCATGAACAGAGAGCAATGCATCTTGGGACTAAAACATGCTAGAATAAGGTACTTTATGAAGTGTTAACATTTTTCTGTTCTAATTATTACATTTCAGGGTCATCTGTAGGCAGGTATTTTTCCATCTTTTTAAAATATTTGTGGTTTTAAGAATCATTTTAAACCTAAATCGATCAGTATTAGAATAATTCACGGGGGGTATGTTATTGTTGTGGTACTGTGCATCTGACTGCATTAGCTTGTCTATTTTATTAATACATATTCCGTCAATTTTGAACGAGATGGAACCTACAGTTTTACCTATTATGTCGGGTTGCTATGGGTGCCGTAATTTAATAGTGATTTTCGTTAGTCTTACTTCACCTTTGCTAGTAGCTCTTAAAGAGCAAGTAACAGATACCTTTTTTTTTTAGTCCTAGTAAATCTTTCAGTTTGGGAATCTAAGGTGTGTTGTTATGTTGGTGGAAATTCTGTGATATTCTTGAAGTTTCTACGAGTCGACAACGATGTTTTCATAAGTATTATCTATATCTGTGTTTCTCAACCTTTTCCAATATCATTCACCCCATATGTTTTTCACAACAGCTCACTTACCCCAGTTAAAAAACAAAAAGGACAAAAAAAATATATAAAATTCTTTATTATGACTTAAATATACATCAAACTACAACTAGAATGAATACAACATAAATTAAATGTATTTATGAAACTACAACTAAAATACATACAACATAAAATAAGTGTATTTATGAAACTACAACTAGAATAAATAATAATAATAACTAATGACTTTTTTTTTTACTCTTGAATTTGTTGTATAATTGATAATACTTATTTACCCTGATTCTCATCTCATTAACCCCTGGGTGAACCATTCACCCAGATAAGAAGCACTGATCTATAGCGAACCAATCAGTTTTGAATAATAATTCAACAGGGTATGTCCGTTTTAGACTAATTTTATCCGTTCGTTATTAATCTTGTAACAAGACTTACTTCCTCAACAATTGCTTTGGCTCAGGGTCAACTGTTAATACATTCGTCAAAAGTCAAAGTTGAACATGGAAGCTTTTGTATTTGTGTAGAAGGGAGAAAAATTTGTTTTCACACAGGGGCTCACGTGTGTTACTGTTATTTTCACACAGGGGCTTACGTGTGTTGCTGCTATTTTCACACAGGGGATTACGTGTCTTTCTGTTGTTTTCATACAGAGACCTAACATTTGTTACTCTTGTTTTCACACAGGGGCTTAAGTGTGTTACTGTTGTTTTCGCACACATGTGTTACTTTGCTTCCATGAAAACTGCAGTGTTATAGCTTTCTTTATTGTATTACGTATTTTGAGAGCTTGTAAATTTTACAGTATTCAAATTAAAAGAAGAAGAAAAAAAGACGCATTTAATTGTCTTCCATGCACAATAATTACTAATGCTAATGTAAGAATATGCTCAGGACAGTCTCTTGAATATTGAACGAACAAATCAATACAAAGGGTAATTCTGAAGTCAATGAGATGCTTGTTTTTCGTGGGATCTAAACGTAGGTTTTTGGTGTACTGCAAGGAAAACTCTCACAACCTGAAAAAGCTAGTATGAAATTATTAAATACAGCAGGTTCAATGCTGATATATATATATATATTTAAACAAGGAACGTCTTGTATGTGTTAAGTACTCTTCTAATCGTGAACGTTAAGCCTAATTATATAGATGCTATAATCGGTATAGCGACGCACGTTCCATGGTATAGTCTCTATTTCAACGTTTCGCATCAAAACAGATCAGTTATCTTGAAGTAGCAGTAACAAATATTTGTACTTAAATAACTCAGTCTCAAGTAGACCATTCCTGAAATGCTACTTTAATAATATATCTGACCAATTTTGAATCATTTGTGTTCAACAACATTTTTCTTCATAACTTGCCCTCCGCTGGCCCAGCAGTACGTCTAAGGCCCATAACACCAAAAACTAGGTTTAGACGTCTTTGGTGGGCAGATCACAGATACCCATTGTGTAGCTTTATGGGTAATGACAAACAAACGAATCTTCCATCATTTTTTTTTCATAGCTGTGTTTCCGTTGATATTTTTCTTGAATATCGACAAAAGTACATATACAGCAACCGGCCCGAATAGGCAACTACATTAAGATGAGGTGTTTGGTAAAGGATAAAGTCTTCTATTTCATCTACACATTAAGTTATGATCTAGTGAAAGGTGTGGGGTTTTGAAAGAAGAATCTTTTCTACCAACCTCTACTCGAAAGGCCAGTTCCAGTGGTAAACATTACGGACAATTATTTCATGTTGTTTTTGCCTTTAAAGAGAGGTGGTACGGAGATTTTCTTCGAACTTGTTTTTAGTATTTTGATGATAAACTAAAATATTTCGTTTATTTCATGTCTTCAATCACGATGCCCAGTGGTTCTTTTCTGTTGGTGACCTGTCTTCGTTTAGTAGAATATTTGTAGCGGTGTAATAAAACAACAACTGTGATTTTTGTAGTATTTTAGCCACAGTCTTGCAAATAAAAATATATTTCTTAAGCATTTGTCCTTTTCTCTCTCTGTTGATGTCTGAATTATTATATTTCAAAGACTGTTTAAATATTTGAAGAATTACTAGATTGGTAACTAACGTGGTTTCAAGACATCATCTATCAGTCCACTGCTTGCGATTAAACACAGTGTTTTAGTTATTTTAGTAGCTTTAGAACTCACCCGATTATCATCATGTGTAGTTTTGAATTTTGTAATGACATTAAAAATTTACGGTTTCATAATAATGTATCTTCTTTGTACATCGAATACTGCTTTGAAGATATTTTAAGTTTAACACTGGACTCGTTATATCAAAATGAATATGTAGTATTTACAAAATACATAAATTACTCAGAGTTGGCCACCAAGTAACATCGTATGAGGATCAAGGTCAGCAACATCACTTGTCAATTTATTTCTTTGCCTTTATGAAAAAAAAATGATGGCTGGAAAACTGTACATTGAACATTAAGCCTATGAATTATCGAAGTTGTATAGATAATAAAGATAAAAATACATTTACTGTGGAACATCAAGAAAAACGTCAACTTTTCCTTCTATTACAAGAAGTGCACATTAACAGTGGTAGTTTTGGATATGAAGTGTAGCATAACAAAACATTTACAAGCGTATATTTGAATTTTAACAGCGGGATTTCAGCTTTTTCTAAAACAAATTTGATTCAATCACCAATTCGTCGTGTTTGTAAAATTTATAGCCCGTGTGAAAACTTTCATAATAAAGTTGACAATATTAAAATAAAGATGGTTTTTCAAATAGTATGATAGAGGGTATTATGTGTAATTATTTTGATGAGGTGAACAAGTTCAAACAAACAAACTCCTAAAACAAAAAAATAAATCCAATAATACAAAATACAGATAAACAGATAATAGATATAAAAATCATTTATTTAGACTTTTTTCTTAGAACTTATCCATAAAGTTATTCCAGAGAAGTATTAAACCTAAGAATAAAAATCAAACTCTTTCAGGTATAAAGAAAGAATTTCATACTTAAAAGCATACATGATATATGAATTTAAGTATTCTATGTTTATAAGTTCGACCACCAGGTGCTAAGAAGATCATTTTAATGAGACGTTTTAATTCGTCAATTTAATGACGAATAATAAACTTGGTTTAGGTGATCACCCACTTGATGAATGTCACAGTATGTTTACGATTTTCTTATGTTATTTAGTATTGAGTATTTAGAACCCCCACTTTGGGCGACAAAGATATCTCTGTACACAATTAATATTATATCATATTGTATCTTTATGATCAACTAAGTAGGTTTAGTTGTACGTCATAGGTTATGCTAAAAAATAATTTTGTAAAGTTTCGTGGTTTGTAAGACAGGAAGTTTTAATTTTGTTATGATATAATAATTTTGTAATCTGATGATGTTTTTAATTTTAAGTATTTTGAAGTTATAGATCAATAGAATAAAGTGGGATAGAAAGTTTTATCAAGCAAGAATAAGAAACTTTCTTCGCTTTAATAACTTGTATTTGGTGTATTAGGTTAATTACATTCGATAGTAATACGAAGTATGGTGCGTTAATAGCTATTAAATGATAAAACTTTTGGTCACTGTAAATACAGTAAAAAGTTTCCTGTTACGTTTCTTTCTTTATACCAGTTATGAATTCCGATTGGCCTTTTTAATTTTATTGCAGAAAGTGAACAGGTTCCTGTTGTAAATATTATTCCAAAACTAGAGGGGGGAATCGAACTTGTAATGGTTCTTAATCGGGTTCATTAAATATGAACTTAAATACACCCCCATGATTGAAAGGACAAGTAAGTTCGGCCCTAACCACCAGGCCATGGTATATTATCTACTATATCATAACGTTTATTATTGTACTTAAATTTCCTGTCCAAAGTCTGTTGCTATAGTTACTAATTAATAGTGTAATAATAATAATATTGTATAATACTCCAGAAAAGCAGAACTTTGATAAAAAGCAATTACATAAAGATTTTACGAATAATAAGATCTTCTCATTTTAAAGCAGCATCGAATCACTTTTTTGAATCTAGACAAGAAAACATTAAAAACAAATATCAAATTTTTAAATTAGCCAAAATATAAGTGACGTAAAATTTTGAAAAATATTTCAAAGAAACCTACCCCCAATTAGAAAAAAAGTAAATTATATTGAAAAATATACGTCTAACTGAATTTATTAACGTGATATCTTATTTTCTTATTATGCTCATAACGAAACAGAAAAATGTTACAACGTAGTTAAAAATTTATAATTCTCACGCACGTACGCAGGGGGGGGGGGGGGGTTCGAGCTGAACCCCCTATCTTTGTGATGTAAAAAAAAAAATGTTTATATTGTTATAACTAAAGTTGTGGCGATACAGCGATACGACACGAGTATCGTATCGTAAAGCCGTAATACGACTGTATCAATACATCGTCCGATACATTTATGTATTTTCCCGAAATTGTTCAAGCTTTCAGTAAAAGTTATAAATCTTTTGTAGATAGTTTCTCAGGAAGTATTGTTCCTAAAAATTAATGATTCGATAAAGGAAGATGAGTATTGAGTACTTCATGTTGTCTTCATTTATTTTATCAAAATATTACATGCAAAGTAACCTT